TTACCATCAACTTTTAAAACATCTGAAATTTAGTGATCCTAGTAGAGCGATAGTTCTTAGACTGAGTTCAGAACATAATGATAATGAGTTCACTCATAAACTGGGATGATGACATATAGCTAAACTTATCCTCTCCCGGTATCGGCTCGACACCGTACCTTGAGGAATTTGCTCAACTACCATAGTCGACAATATGGTGGTCTTACGTTGGATTAGACAGAAGTAGCTAGTCCAAGCAGACGAAACTGACTTACTGATTATTTTAGGTGCGTAGTAGAGTCTGCAATTTAAGTGTTGTTTTGCTCCGGAATTAAGGTGGTTTTTTTAGAGGCAAGCCGGTTGTGGAGATAATGACTCATGTGCGAAGCATGCAGTTTTACTGAGCACGGTTGACAGAAAACCGCTTGTGGAGATTGCATCCTGTGAGTGAAGCCAATCTATGCTGAAAAGCCGAGAAGCACAGCTGTACAGCCGTTACATTCTTATTGGGAATCATCAGCGGTGCGCATCTCACGAAACTCCGGAGAACCCGTGACCTCCCGGCTAGTAGTTTGAACACTTGAGCGTTCGCCCAAAAAACCCAAATCTCCTCACACTACCAACAATCTATAAGTGGCTCGGTGGAAAAATAAACTTCATCCGATGAATGAAAACTTCCATCTGAGAATAAGTCGTTGTTCGAGGAGCCAATCAACACATGTGACCACGTGATGTCGATCCCATGATAGAAGGGTGAGTGGCGCTATATCCTGTCTAAGTGCGAGTTAATCACACTGCTGATCAGCCGCTCGTGGCCGAACAGTTAAATGGTGTTCCAACTACTAGCCGGCAAGTCACGGGTTCAAGACTATCTGGAGTTTCGTGAGGTGCGCACTGCTGATGACTCCCAATAGGGGTGCAACAGCCTCTCAGCTAACTTCACTTACAGAATGAAATCTCCACAAAAACCCAAATCTCCTCACCTTAATTGAAAAACTCCTTTTTAGTGTTCATCTAATTTAAGAAGGATTGAGAGAGAGTTGCGTTCAAAGGCAGTGGATCGGGTGAGTGGCGATGGCCGTAACAGCGAACGCTTTTGCGCAAGCCTAGGATATCGTTATAAATACGGTTTTTTGGTTTGGTACCTTCCGAGTGGTCACAAAAATACACCACTACTTGGATTGACAACCCTTTTGTTGCAAGGCACTGCTATATTGATTTATTTACGGCCCGCATGAATTTAAGTCAGGAAGGGTCTACTTAGAAAGTGTGAGTAGTCAGCTGACAAGATAATCATATGAAGTGGTACGTTTCTGCCAGACACCTTGTTCCAGTCAGGTTGCTGTGCGGATTCGGATATCCTAAATCGTTGGGGAAGATTACGGTTAGTAACCCGGTCGCCAAAATCGTCACTTCCCCCCTACGTCTTGTGCAAATGAACCACGGTAAAGAAAACTCACCAGTGGATCAGGGGTAAGTTGATGAAGTTAATCCATAGTATTTTAATGAGACTGAAAGAGTTGCACTGCAAATGCCAATGGAATAATCGCTTTCGTTGTGGGAGATTCAATCGACCCTTAGTGATGATTTACAATTTTAGTATCATTTT